TTAAACTGTGTTTAATTGCAAGTTAACGAAGAAAGAATTGATGGCTAACATATGAAAATCAATCAACAACTTTTTAAATGCATATTTACCTGTGGATAAACTTTATCATGCATGACATGTCACAGGCTTCAAGTAAATAACAGCAGACCAAGAATGAAGTACTGCAACTGTACAGACAGCAGCTGATAATACAACTCCATTTCCCACACATGCGTCCCCTTAAGTAATAGATGCCATTCAAACACACACACACACACATATATGGCAGAACCTCAAAAGATGAGATTATGCTGGCCATATCTCAAAAACTACTGCCCCAGCTGATGAAAAGTTTCCTGTAAGACTTCATTAATTAATCGCAAAAAAAAAAAAAAATTCTGTATGCTTCACTGAGCTGTCTCCTCACAGTTTACTCTTTGTAGAGACAAAGAAGCTCTTCGTGACTTTCCTTCCACACAAAATATAGGTTTGAGGCATTTTAGGTATTGACTATAATGTACTTTAATACTCATTATTTCTTAGAAACCCACAATATCTAAAGAGAGCACCGTCTCAATTCTAGCTGTGTTGTACTCTATGGATTCCACACAGGAATTAACAGACACAGATGGCCTTTGTTTCTGAGGAAGTCATTAGAAAGCGCATCTACATGTGCGGGTTATATACGGGATCTTGATATTCATTTGTGCCATTGACTTAATGCTTCGATCATGGCTTCCACCATGCCTTAATTACTTCAAATATTCCCTGCCTTGATATGCAGAAACCAATATCTCACCAGCACTAAAAATATCAGTAGATCAGGGAAATTTCCAGAATATAGCCAGATAATATTAAGTGATAAGTTTTTAATTTCTAAAGTGTTTTGAATTATTCTCCTTAACCATGGTTTTAAAAATAGTTGATATTTGACGAAGTATGGACAGCTATTTAAAAATTTTCAAGAGCAAGAAGCAATCAACTCAGGCATCTCATCTTTTTTGATTTACTAGTAGTTTGTTTTTGCCTCACACACACATACACGCACGCATGCACGCACGCACGCACACACACACACTGTGTATATAATCAAATTATTATGCAATTATCATGCTTCTCTTTTTTTAACTGTTATATTAATAACAATTAAAAAAACATAACCTATATTTAGGAATATGCATTTGTAATCATTCCAATTATATAAATATGAATTACATGTTTACCTATACTAGTACAATGCCACCTGATCAGACACTTTTTCTTTTCAGTTGTGATCAATTTTCCATCCAAACTACTAAGTATAAAATTTATTGAGGACAATTTTCCATATGCTTGGCATGAGAGATATTTAAATTGCACATGCAGCAGATGCTAGATATATATACACTGTACTAATACCAGTAAATGTACATGTACGAGTAGCTATACACACTTGTAATACACAGTACACTGTGCATGTATAATTCACCAAACAAGGCTAACCAAGCAACCAAAGCTTTATTTCATTGACAAGCATACTGCCATCAAAGAGAACGTTGTTGGATCAAATGCAGTTGGTTGTGAGTGCTTTTGATCAGCAGACTATTCTGTGAAAATCCAATGGAAATCAGCATGTATACGTACAGGCAGTATTAGCAGTCGTTTATCAGAAAATCCATTATCCATGACTTTTACTGATTTGGAAACATACTGAGGGTTCCAATCACAGAAATGATACTGTATTTTACATGGTTTAGGCAATGATTAATGTCACAAGTTAATGTACAGGGATTTAATGACAAGAAACTTCAGGGTCTGTTATAAACATGTATGTATGTATGGTTTTAGGTACAGTTGGTGGATTCCCATGAAGTGCACATGCAGAGACTACTGCCACCTGGTGGTTTTGGTCTAATCTATATTTGCCAGTAATACTTTTAAAATAACTGGGTCCTCAATCGCACCAGACCTCTCATAATAATGCAATTGTGCACATGAGTAAGTTTATTTTCTAAAAAAATAAAGGCACATTAACAATTCAACAATTTAGAAATTGGATTTATAGCGGGTTTTATGAATATTAAAAAGAACAGCTGGATTAGCGAATATTGACCAATTCTCTTAAAAGTATTACATCTGCAGCAGTACACATCAACTATCTTTTATGGCAGTTGTACACAGGCTGATACATATATACATCCTTTTACATATCTATTGGATATCTTTTGTTATGGTTACTTTTTTGTGTGACGCCTGCATTGCTTAGGTCATGGCATTTTGTGAGAATGGCACAGTATCATTTAGATCCCCTCAGTGTGGCACTGATAAAAAATAGATCAGGTATGAAGAATTATTATAAGTTTCAATTGAACATTAGTTATTTATAATCTTTTTGTATTTAATGCTGATTAATGTTTGTACATATGTGTGTTCACTCAATCAATTTTTTTTTTTTTTTGGAAGAGTGCAGACACCTTGTATATTACAATGTACAAGCATTCTTCTGCTTTTTTTGCCAGGTTATGAACAGCATATATGTGGCTATGTAGAGCATAAATATGTAGATGCGAAGAGTCTAAGTAAAGAGTATAGTCATCATCATTGCTCTAAAACTCATGTTGACACTACTGAGTAAGTTATTTTTCCCATACATCAATAAGCTTCATGAAATATTAGCACATGCACTCCATTAAACGACAATGGACTAACTGCTTGATTATCAATTTGGTTCATTGTGCTTTATTAACATAATGGTTACAAATAGGATTTTATCAACTCTTTCATAATTTCCATTTACATACCCAGAATCCTTATATACACCCAGGTGTACAAAAATAAAGAACCTCTAGAAATCTTTAATTATCTTTAAATCAACCTGTTTTATTGGCACACTTTCTGTTTTTAGAGGCATTACTAAAAACTTCTACCCCTGGCTAAATTTATTGTTCTCTTCATTTTGAATGAACCAAGCCCAAGATAGCAAAAATTATATTATTTTCAACTCAAGAATATACTGCAAGACAACATACATTTCTTCGCTGGTAGTATTTTATCTATGATTGCACGACTTGATATGTATGCATTGTTAACACTAAAATAACATAATTTCTCTTGTGATTTGCCTGCGGCCATAGCTTATAAAAGATCATGAAAGGGAACTTTATATCCGTCCACGAGAAGATGACAATGCAGTAGTAACTAAACAGATGGGTTATAGTACATTGTATGGTTCTCAGGCATGTGTCATCTTTCAAAGCATTTAATAATTTCATTTATTTATTTACGTCTTCATTGCAGCAATGTCTCGAGAGATTTCAATATTATTGAGTTACAGGAGAATTGGAAGTAAACTGATACAAATTGAAATATAAATTCATACAAAAGTGATTTTTCCACACACAATTACACAGATTTACAAACAAATGATATGCCTTATTCATTTACTCATTTATCTTGGGTAAACTCGATCATCATATTCATACATTCTTTCATACAGATGCCCTACTATATATATATATATCCGTTTTTCCATATTCAATTACTTTCTCTGTAATGATTACTCAGTCATAGACAAACAAAGCAGTGCAAAAAATTATATGTAACACCTAAAAAAAACTGAGAAATCACAAAAAAAAAAAAAAAAAAAAAAAAAACTGAGATATATGGGTTGCTTTCACATGAATAGATACCCATATATTGCTTCAAGAGTCGCGACAAGTACAACCTCCAGTTGATGACCAAGTAATCAATATGCACCATATCAGCACCACACTGATCATGATGTGCTTGCCCAGCTTGTGAACAGCTAAGAACTGGTCATAAATAATCAACTTGTCTAAGCATGACAAAACCCCAAAGTGCATGCTGATTTCATGTCAATATAAATTTGTTTTGGTATATTGTGGATGAAATATGACACTGATAACCATTTTTTGCTACATGCTAGCTGTCAGATAGAAACAGCCCAATGCATTTATGAACCAGTTTCACTAAATGAAATGAAAATATATAACATAACTTCTAACCCACCAAAAAAAAGGTCAGTTACATGTGCATGTACCAGATGTATGTGTGTAATTTCCACAACAATCGGACAAGCAGGAGAGAAATAGCCAGTAACCCAGTTTTTAACATTTAATTCAGAAATGTTGGCAGATCATATCCACCAAGACCTCCCCCCCCCCCCCCATCCTGAAAATACTTATAATGAAGCTAACTGTATGTGCATCAAAAAAAGCTTTGAAAGACACATGGTCATGTGAATATGTTCAATGTGCACAGTATTATATACAGGGTTATTTACAGTATATCTTGCAGGAATTAACTACTGTAGTCCATATACCCTCATAAATTATCCAGTGCCTTGAAAAGAATAGCTGCCATATTAGACGTGGTCTCTGTGGAATACTATTAACCGTAATATGTGTCATGTAAGATAATATAAACGATGAACACAATCATTGAGTGTGGGAAATCAATAACAAGCATGTGTAAAGCAAACGCTATCTCACAATTATTATTATTATTATTTCAGCAGTGTTATAATTGCAAGTGACTAAAATGAAATATGACGAAAATAAAGAAAATGCAAGCTGAAAACCCTGAACAAGCTTAATTTATTTTCTTAACGCCCCCCCCCCCCTCCACTCGCCCCCGTTCCGCATCCACGCTCCTGCTTCCCAGTCCGTTCAGCGGTCGTTAGATCAAGGTTGTGATGACTTTACAATATTAAAAGACACATCTCTGAATTCACAGACCAGTGTTAAAAATAACCACTGGTCGGCATTACAGCGTACTCCATATGATTTTAAAGCGGCACGGTTATCCTAGAGCTTTAATTAAGGGCCTGGATAACGAGCAAAAAAATTAATTTCATTTCAAACATTCTAAACACTATACGAGTACAATGTATGTCACTGACAAACGCACAAATAGAACTGTGCAATATATCAAATACGTAATCGCCACTTACACACGCTAGCACACAGTATTTCAACGTAAAATATACAGTTCAATAGTTCAAGTTTTCCCTAATAGCATACCGTCTGTTTCCGTATGCAGTCGCTGGTAACTGAGCCTCCTCCTCGGACAGTCTTCTGTATGGCACGCTCAGTACCCGTTTTGGTGCGCTCGGCTTCTGTTGGTTGACATCAGCCATCTTCTGTGTATTTTCTGCAATACACAGCTATAACAGCCTGCAGCGTGTTGGTTGGAAAGCGTCGGCCTCCCTTTTCCTAGCAAATATATGAAACCCAAACAAATTTATCTGAAGGTGATTGTGTTGTGATCTCATGTGGGAAATTATCCTTCCATTATTACGGTAAAGCAGCTTGTGCGCTTGCTTGCAGTGCCCCCTGTTAGGGAAATATGAAATATGTAAGTGATCAATCTTAAATGGTGATGCACTCTTGGTACTATGTATTTATCTGGCTTTAAATTTACGATCAAATCAAATCAAATGACATTAAAATTACTCTAGTGGATCTAGGATATCAAGAAGAGGGCGCAATTTCTTTTGTCCTCTTTTGATTTCGGACTCAGTAGAGTAATACAGCTGATAAATACTGGAAAGTTGTTAGGGACACCATGCAGTCGGTGACCAGTGTCCAGGGTAGTTTGCCTCTTACTAATCAATGGAAGTGGGGTTTGTTTGCAGTTTTGTTTTATTCCCACATGGATTTCATCCTCTTATCTGATGTTCACATAATTTTTCTATGGTCAGGTGGTGATTCCGTAGGTGTCATTTGCAGTCTCAATTCACACCTGTGTATGCTGTTTAACTGCCAGACAGCGTGGCTGGTGAACTGCGTCTCCTTGGTGGTGACTGGCGGCATGTGTCAATGATCTCGGAACCCCCTTGAAACTACATTATATGTACCTTATTACTTTTTTATTTAACTTCCGACCCAATTAAGTCACTAAGAGCTGCTTTTGTCATTTTCATAGGGGATCGAGTTGGGCTGAGTTTTTGACTTTTTGTTTTTAAAGTGGTAGGCCCTATCAATACATTTGTTGAAAGCAATGAAGGCTTAATAGGCCTATCATTCAAGTAATACATTTGCAATAAAATAGCTTAGAACAAAGCTGAATGATGGATTATATGACGTTTGCGTTATTATTTAAATGGATAGCACACTGCATGATAGCACGCCTGAAACGTCTACATCAAATTAAACACCTATCAAACCGATGCTTAAAGGGATAATAACTCTTCGTATGAGATCTATATTTCACAATAAAAACATAGTGAATAACTCATAGAAATATAATATATTCTGTTTTACCACAAAAACGGCAGTTATAGCTATTATTCTGATATCTGAGCTTGTCTTTAGACCACGTGACCTCCATTGATGGCTATACTTTGTTAAAATCTCTTAAGAGATTTTAACAAAAAACCAAACTTTTTAGAAAAAAACCAGGGACTAACTTTGAATGTAAAAATGGATTCATTAACCCTTGGTAAGTATGGGAAAATTGTTGTTTACTCCAGGAAAATTCATTTTTTGGCCGAAACGAAGAGTTATTATCACTTTAACGCAAAACACAGAGGTTTTTAGCTGGACCAGTGCTAGGGCGCTTGACGGGGATGATACCTAGATCATAAGACTTTGAGTTAAGTGTTAAAAGCACCGTTGCTAAATTTGATATGGTCCTGCCCCTCATACATGTATTTGACTTATCGTAAATCAAATGACATCAAAATAAAACAACCACCTTTATTTTCTCTACAACTGCGCAATGTTATAGAAAGATCGTACAACTCACTTTTAATTAGTTAAATATTCAGTGAAACCGTAACGATGCACAGTGTCATGGAAGGCCCCTATCCCTTATCCCCACAGTTATAAAGTTCCAACGCTGTCTTATCCTGTCTAATATTTCTACAGTTCTTCAAACTGTTTTGGTTATTTTCAAAACCAGTTGCAAAATATGGAACACCAAACAATAGAACCCATTAGGCTTAATGTCTAGCATTTTTTATAGTTGAGTAATATAGCATTTTTCAACGAAATGTGAAGGTAGTTTACCAAACCTGTTGCAATAGGATTAATTCCTTGCATCTAACAAGAACCACTTTCATTTACGCATTCTTTTCTGTACTTAAAATAATCAGAGTAGAGTAAAGTAAGTTACCCAACTCGTACATGTACCTGACGATATGAAACTGATATAACGCAATATTTTTTCAAAGTTTTACATCACCTTTTAAGCGCACCCATACTTTTCTATTCGCGACCAGAAAGATAGGCCAATCTAAACCTACCTGATGGTTAACTTAGTGTATAGTCGAGATCTACCTCAACCAGAAGATATTGATGTTGGCTCGATGTATGCTTTTGTTTCTAAAATCCACTCCGCTTTGTGATGTCGACAATCTGACACAGTTGCCTGGCATGGGCAACTGGCAAAAGACTAGTGGCGTAGGTTTTTAAAACAAGATTTGGAAGCGGATCCCAGAAATGACAGTGCAGCGACATCGATTTATTCAGCATTTGACAAACGCTTCACTTAATGCAATGTAGGTGTATCGATCCTCAAAGAAACAGTATACTGCTTGATGTACGTTGATACTGTGTTAGTATGGTGCAATATATTAATTGATTTGGGAAACGTAAGCTGTCGCTTTGTTGGCGATGTTTTTCACCATACATACCCCGAGTCACAAAACCTTTTACGTTCTTTGATTAACGGATTCTGAGCGTACAATCTGAATACATCATGAAGAGTTCTTGGGTTTATCGATTTCTTGGTCTCTGCCGTTGTAACACAATTTAACGGAAGACCGGCAGACCATTTAACATGAGTGCACATCAAAACAGATCATAGGTAGTTTTATTGTTAAGTTTTATCTTGTCAGTTGACGTTTATTTCAATGAAGTTAACAACCCTTTTATAATAATGATAAGTTTATTGAGCACTAAATGGTATGAATACATTTGCAGGCTCACTAGACTACATTATTTACGCAATATATATATAAGTATATAATAATATTTATATATAAGTAGCAATGGCGGGCCAAGGGGGTGGTGTGGGGATCAAAGCGGGCATGCGAAACTCTCTTAGCTTCTGAGGTACTCTCTTCTCCCACCGCCTGCAGTATTATGAGCAAAGCAAGGTAATACCAACCAATTTTCTATTCCCCTTTTCACCCTACGTTTATTTATGAAATACACTGTAAAATCGCCCTCGTCTACCGTTTGATAATCACATTGGCTCGGCAAATTTTTTATCATATTGTCCCTCCTAACAAAATCATAATAAAAATATGATATTTGCGATCTTTTTACATTTTCGCAATTTTGACAACGCGTCCGCTAGCCAGTGTGTCAAGAACAAAATATGCAGTTGTGGTGTATCGGACACGGACGCTAGGCATGAATGAAAATAAGAGAGGGCGCCCTGTAGCAAAATTCTGGATCCACGCGTTTATACGGTAGTATAGTGATGTGTACTTTGATATGTCAGAACGTCAGATTTTGCATAAGCTTGGACCCAGGATTTATTGAAATGCTTTTTTATGTACAAACACAGATGTGTCTGTACATATAGCCGTAATCTGCGTCTGTCGTCGCCGTCGCTGTCGCCGTCGCCGTTGGCGTGCACTTTAACCGTAAACACGATAAGTGAAAAACCGTTTAACCTTTTGGCTTGTTTTATCTTATGGTCTCTCACTTAAATTGTTATATACAAATGTTCCACCAGTGCCCACCACACGAGCAGAGGTGCACTAATGGTCCCCTCCAGTGTGCTAGTTGAATTTAAAAGCAATGCTCTGATTAAAAAAAATCATCGGACATTGTGTTAGAGGTGATGCACACATTCGGTCTTTTGCATCGACTTGTTTTGGGGGTGGGGTATTAAAAGCAGCCAAGAAATTCTAAAATGAAATGTGTTTATTTACATATCACAATACAACATTTTACTAGTATGGTCAGTGTTTTTATAATTATTTTGGCATGTAAGTTAAACCTATGAGGGGTTTGGATTCAATTCATGGTAGGAATCGGTAAAATATCCACTTTGTTAATTACCCAGGTCTTGAGATTTCAGATATCATAACTTGGTTTGATTAACTGTGAGAAAAAATGACTTAAAACACTTTACACAATAATAATGAAACAAACAACATCTCTTGCTCTTACACTGATGATAAAATGGAGAAATTGAATATTTAGTAAAAAAAAAAAAAAAAAAGTGGCATTAAAGCAGGTTTACAGTTTGATAAAATTCAAATGCTCTACTTCAACCCAGCATTTGATAAAAAGATATGTATTTAACATTAAGGTGTATTTGTAATAGTGAGTTTTGTAAAAGAAGACAAAACAGAAGTGCACCTAGAACATAAGTAACCCTTCCCACTGAGCAGAATACTCGTTTTAAAACAAGAGCTCTAAAAGGCAATGTCTTTCTACGTGCATCACATTCTATTACATCACAATATCGTCAGTATCCACCATTTACATGAACAAAGAGAATTTTGATTATCTGCCATTACTGTTTGAAACTTGCATATCAAATTGCAAATATACAGATATAACATTGCTTTTTCAAAAAAAAAAAAAAAAAAAAAAGTTTGGCACAGTTGCCCCAAAATAACAATGATTTAACCTCCCATTTTTATTTGATTTCTGATTTATGCAATTGAAAGCTATAAGAATCAGTTAGGTGAAACTGATCAAATTTCTTAAATTCGTATAACATTCATTTGTATAAATATTATTTTTACCAGATGATATTATATGACCAAACTTCTGATTTACGTACAAATCCTTTAAAATATTTTTAACAAAATTACTCATTAGAAAGAAATGACAGTAGGCAACTTATCTGATACATTCACAATAAATTAGGATTGCCAAAAGGAGAAAACATTGCAATTTTGAGCAAGTCAAGTGCAGACTTAAATGACTATCATATTTGTACATTAAGTCTTTGCAGTGACCTTGTTAGAGGACAGACAATAGTGTATGGGTACTTAGGTATGTCCACTTTCACATTTTTCTCCCTTAGTTTACACAAACTTTGCTCATTAATATCCCTGCATTCTCTTATCTGCAGTGCCTTCAGGTCCCTGCAATACTCTGCTAGAAGTCTGAAATGAAGAAAGATGCCACATTTTTGCAGTTCTTCAACATCTTTTATTTAATTAAATAAGTTATTATTGGTGCAGATTTTCAGTGTGTGTGTGTGTGTGTGTGTGTGTGTGTGTGTGTGTGCGTGCATGCGTGCGTGCATGTGAGTGAGTGAGTAAGTGAGTAAGTGGAGCAATTAAAGAGTGCTATATAGTTTATTTAGGCATAATGTGTCTCTTCTAAAAAATAAGCTAACTAAAAAGAAAAATATTCAGCAACATTAAAAAACTCTGATGATGGCTTAATGTACAATTGTGTCTGCACAATCAAAAATATATATTATTTCTAATACAGAGTGTTATACTCATTGAAACTTGTGTTTTGTTTACTTAACACATGCATCTAAAAAATGTTAAAAACCTAACAAAAACTTACATGACAGACTCATTGGTCACCCTCCAACAGCCAGTCATGTTTAAATGCTTCAGTCGTCTACAGTAGCTAGCTACATTTGCTATTGCATGATCCGTCACCCCATAGATCTTTGCTATGGACAGGAATTCCAGTCTAAAATGCAAAGGGCAAGAAGGTTCATTAAAAGAGACTTCAAACTGCAATGTCACATTTCATAAATTTGAATGAATGTATGATTTAAATATTTTCTTTGAAACAAAGCAGCTGTATCAAGTATGAAGTCATTAACAAATAGAACATGCAAACAAACAATAAATCAATGAGCATGACTTACTGCTGACAACACATTGCCATTGTCACTACAGCCTCATCATTTAGGTTCCAGCATCCAGACAAATCTACATGGGTTAGTCCTCTGCAGTGTAGAACCAGGTTGGTGACAGCCACTACACTCAACCATATACACTCCCTCAGTGTGATACGACACAAGTTAGGGCAATGTAAAGCCAAGATACGGATACTCTCATTAGTCAGGCGAGTACAGTTACTTATATCTATAAGTAAAAGTCGGCCGTTTCTTTGCAGCACTGGCACAAGGAGTTCATCAGTCAGCCAGTCTTTAGAGTTTCTCAAGTTTAATTCTTGTAAGTTGCTATTGTCATTGGTCATGATTTGAAAAGCAACACCATTACATCTGGCTGCTATCCTGCTAAGGTTGAGACATTTACTGGTTTGGAAATAGTATGTGATACACTCATGAAACTGCTTGCTTACTCTCCTAAGGCTGAAGAGTGTCTGTACTGCCAGGTTGGGAAACACCTTCTTGAACAGAACATCTTCCCACGGAAGGCAATCCAGTATGGAATGGGATGGAGGCCTGAAAAGAAATGAAGTTTCTGAGATATAGGTATCAGTAAAAAGAGCCCATGTGTCCGGAAATAACATATAACCCTACAGAAAATAGTGAGTTAATATATGAAAATCACATAGGAGTAAAAATTTAAATATAAATTCTCCAGGTATTCCATGAGGCAATGGGGGATAAAAGAAATCTTCATAAGTTTTTTTTAACAAATGCTGAATCATTGTTGCCTCTGAATAATCCTTAGCTTTTTTTTTCAAATTTTTGATCCAACTTTTTATGTACCTCCACTGGTAAAGGGTTTAGAAAATTCTTGCATAATATTTCCTTGTCCAAATTAAATATTTCAATGTACCAAATATTATTTTAATTCATTTAAACAATTAATTTTTTTCAAAGGAACAAAAGGACAATCCAAGGGAAATGCCATATTGTTGTTGAGATGATAACAGAATTGTGTCTAAAATAGTTTACCTTAAATAACCATCACCAATAGATGTGAATATTATTTGTTAAAAATGTGACTCCAGCATTGTTTTTGTCCATTTTATATGTTCACTTTTATTCTTGGCCCTCTTCAGAAATGGCCTGCATATGCACAATTCATTCAAAGTGTGTACACTTTTCACTGCTACTATTTCTACTACTACAACTACATGTACTACTTCTACTACTGGGGCTACCACACCAGATCAAACCAGTTTGGCCATTCTTACAGTTGGTCATCCATGCACTTTGCCTTAGAAATGGGGAGATGGGGTGACTCTACTGAAATGCTCCCCCCCCCCCAACAGAAGTGATTAATATGAAGTTTGATATAATCTCATGAAGTCTGACAAGTTTAAAATAGAAGTTAATGCAATCCGTGTTACCTCAACTTGCCAGTGGTAAGGTATGTGACATCAGCCTGACTGTAAGAATTGCATCATTTCACATTAGGTCAGTTATTCATCTAAGCTCAGTGCAAGGTCTCACAATGTTTAACATCATATTTAACACTGTTGACATGGGGTCATGTCGATACTCCCCCACACTGATACTCCCCCGCACCGATACTCCCCCTAAGTAATTTTTTGTTTTATGAGCATCGATACAACCCCACACCGATAGATCCCCGCACCGGTACTCCCCCCCCACCAACACTTCCCCGCACCGATACTCCCCCGCACCGATACTCCCCCTCAGTATCGAAGCAATGGTGTGTGGGAGTATCGGTCCGGGGAAGTATTGGTGTGGGGATGTAGCGGTGCGGGGGAGTATCGGTGCGGGGACGAATAGGCATGTAACCGTTGACATGCCAGTGTCCTCTCCAGTATAATCCTACTTTTATTCTTCCAAGGTTTGTGTAGTGCTCCCCTCTACTTTTTATCCCTCTTATGTGCTTAAGTTTTTTTCTTCGCAGCCACCACCACATTAATTTGTTAAATTTGGCCAAGTACCATGGGATACAGTCACATGGTATGCCTACTTACTTGGTTTTCACCAACGGAAAGTAGGTCATAATTGTGGGTTGTAAATGCATCTTTTACATATAATTTCGGACTGAGCTCACCCTTGGCAATGAAATTGGTGTTGTGCTGTATTGCGCATTTTAGCTAGTATGACCAGAAAACCATACTTTTCTTCACTCTTTTATGTCTTGTAACACATACAGTACAGGTAAAAAATAAATAAATAAATAAATAAATAAATAAATAAAAGCATTAACACACAATTTATCGTCCTAGGGTTAATAACACAATATAAACCCTGGATATGTCACTTGCCAATGTTAGGTATATTACAATCTGCTAGGGGCGCTACAGTAGTAACTATCCAGGGGCAGTGAAGTGCAAAACCGAGACCGACCTGCTAACAGCTCACCTATGACATCCCTTTTCTTAAATCTCTCTTTTACCGACATGTAAATAAACTAATACAAACCAATTACTAAATAAGCTGTAAATCAAAGAGTAAATTCCGGTCACGTGATTTTCCCGTGTTGCAGTCTTAGAGAAATTTGATTTTAGGACGTTTTAAAGTTTTGCCTCGACAAAATGTTTAAAATTTCAGATAAGTACTGCATGGAAATTTTTGTAATTCATGCCAAGTAAATTTAAGGATATTTGCAATATTATGTCGAAAAATCGTGAAAATTTAACCATGCGAAGTATAGTTAACTTATTTGATGCGCAATATTTATAGTACATGATCTGCATGGAAGCCATCCCAGCCATGTGCTCGTGCGGTCGCCAATTTGGGTTTGTTTCCGGGTCATTAGATTAACATACAGCCCTAATTGCCCTAATTGGTCACAAGCAATTTGAGCCGCAGCTACAGGTGAGTGATCACCGCTGGTCAGTGGTCACAGGTATTTAGCTGAAGAGCGTGGACACTTTTGGTGAAATTTTGCAGTTAAAAAACTTCAATATCTTTGTTGCTTGTAGGAATATTTTAAAAATTCCAAAAGAATTCATCTGTTTTTTGCATTACTTTTCAGAAGATATAAGTTTTATAATTTTCTGATCAGTTTGAAAATTTTTCTGATATACCTACCAATGTCACTTGTCAAGAGCTTATAATTATATTTTGATAACAATTATACATGTAGTCTGACAAAGGAAACAAAGTTAATGAACCGACTGTGGCAGGCTTGAAGTTTTTTCAAAGAACACAAGAACCGAAATTAATTAAAAATGCGACCTGCAACGACCAACTATCTTTCATTATATATCTTACCAATGTTCTTCTGTTTCATGTTGTTCCATTTTCATCCTTGACCTGATTTAACGAAATGGAGCTGTTTTGGAAATGATAAAAATTTGTCCCATTTTGACTTTTCTATTAAATTCAAGTGGAAAAGCTATGGTTGCCAATCAAAAAACAGACCGTGTATGAATTTGTTTTGTCAGAATAATATTTACACAAGTTAAATGTATTTTGATCATCTTACTTTGGTGCAGGTGACAGACTTAACATACGAATAAATTGGGAATAAACTTGCAACTCCGCATTCTACAGGCCGGGAAAAGAGGTGCAGGTCAGAGGAAGTGCTAGGGTTAATATTGTGTTTCACATATAATGTTAAGAATGAACTTCAAGTTTATCACTGATATTGCTCACTTAAACCATCGTTTTATTTGACATGGTATTTTGCTAACCATTATAACTGACTGATATATTTTGTGATCAACGTTAGTTATGACTCATACACAATCGATGTTATTGTAATATCACACACTAGTACATTTACTAGCTTTCTGTCACTGTTACAGTGTTAGTCAGAATGAAAATAATTTTTGCTACATATCCACTTGATTTAGAAACTTTTTACTAGTAGGGCTAAACTCTTACCCAACAGGGCACTGTACCCCTCTTATATGTATATATATATATTTTAATTTTACATATCATTGCAATTTCATTCATGTTACTGTAAAGATGCATTTGAAGTAATTTCTTGGCCATGAAACCTGACCAAATGCCTCCGTAAAGGAATTTTTTCAAATTTCCTGAAGAATGATATTTGGACACCGACAGGCATTTTCTGCTTTCTTTCTGTGCTAAATTTACCACCAGGAATTTTAAAAAGGTGCAGTTTTTTAATGCGCTTTTATTGCTAGTCAAGTGAATAATTTTGTTTATACCTTGGCATGTTGACATTATTTGAGTCCTATATCGAAACTAGTAGAATTGGTTGATATGCCTTACAATCTGTGCTTGGTTCAAATGTAACCTGAAGTTATACTAAGTAGGCTTATTTTTTAATCTTGAAGATGAATTAATGCATAGACTAAGAATAAGATTCACTGGTATCTCTCATAATATTTCTTTGTAAACTGTTAAATTTTGCATATCATGTCAGCTTCATCTATATGGGTGATTCAGAAATTAATGGCACTTAAGGCTCTGTAGTGTTAGTCATGGTTGTTATTTTCACATAAAAGATTTATGACTTTTTCACTCCAAACCAATCTCACTTAAACAAGATCTTCCCTCCTGTCCTGTTAAATATATTATGTTCATGATTTAATCAAAAATATATGTTAAAACACATGATGCAATGTACGTTTGATAAAGTGAACAAAAAGTAAACAGTTTCCTAATCCACAGTACCTGTAACTAATAAGATGATTCATTTTTACTCTTTCACATTCATGTCTTGCAGTGTTATCTAGAAGGGCAAGGAAGGTCTAGATGAAATATGGCATATGCAACTGACCCATCAAAAACAGTTATTCCAGATCAGGAGCAGGTAAAAAATATAAAAAAAAAACTTTCCTTACTTTTCAAGTCTTTCTAAGTACTAATAGCTTTTTAGATAAATTTTCTGAAAGAATGTCATGCTGTAATTACTTGTTTTTCAGATCCTCCTGGAACCATATGAATATATTTTACAGATTCCAGGAAAAAATGTTAGAACAAAATTGGCAACTGTAAGTATAACTCTATATTATTTCTCTCCAGGAACATGCTTAGTGATGGCAGAAATGTATAAAAGGGATTAGATTTAAATATTACTTGCTTACATAATCCTGTTGTACTGCAAACTGTTTAAGCCATATCAAAGAAAACAGTTTTAATTTTAACTGATGTAAAAAGCTTTACCTATTCATATACCTCTGAAACAAAATGAGAAAGAAACATACTGCCATCACTTGGCTCTCTGTGGACTTCATCTTGTCTGTTATCTCATCATTCAGTTAAACACAGCAGGCATGGACCTGTTGTTGTACTGTAGTTGCACTGTTAAATACTGTTGTTGAACTTAACTGTAGTTTGAAAGTATGACAATGAGCCCAGTTAATGCCTATCAATAATCAGTCACTTTTTTTTTGTAAATTTGTCACCTTAATGGACTCTTCATTGGTATATTTCATTCATTGTTTTCTTCTGCATGAGTTCTTTTTAATGATTTAATTGCCTTTCATGATGCACCATTCTATTTTTAGGCATTCAATCACTGGCTGCATGTACCAAAGGAAAAACTTGAAATAATTAGTGAAGTTACACAGATGCTACACAATGCTAGTTTATTGTAAGTGAAGTCTGCTGTAAGTGAATTTACAGGCATAGAAACAAGTAGATGTATGCTCAACAAATATGCTTCAAAAGTAACTCTTTAACTGCAATCAACTTACATTCAGTATGTATGTATGCTTGATAATATTCTTTATTTTATAAAATTTAAAGCTGCACAAGCTGCACAAGTTTGTTTGAAACTTCTGGATACTAAATAAAGTGAAATTATATTTTCACTGGTCATCATAATGGCTAGATCTTATTGCAGTTAGATTTCTAAAGTTTTTATCACTATAAACCTAATTTTTGGGAGGCTATAGTCATGGTTAATATTTCACTACCAATTGATATATTACAGAATTGATGATATAGAAGATAATTCCAAACTTAGAAGAGGCATTCCAGGTATGTTAACACAAGACTTTTGTAGTAAATGGTTTATCTATTAATATCATGAAACATAAAGCCTGAAGCAGTCAAAAACTCTGTTCAAACAGTATCAGGTTTAAAGTTTTAAGTAGAATTTCAAGTTTTTAAATTTCATTGTCATTTTAATTTAAGGTTGTGTATTGTTTTTTATGCATCAATTTCATCGGAAAAGATAAGTGAAAGGCCCATGCTAATTTCAAATTCTTTAATTGTTTTTTGTTAATCTTTGCTCATTTTAAAATTCAGTTGCTCATAATATATATGGAGTAGCCCACACGATCAATTCAGCTAACTATGTGTATTTCTTGGGCTTGGAGAAAGTGCTGACACTCAACAAACCAGAGGCAATGGCCGTCTTCACTGGTAGGTGATAGGACTGATTGGTATTGTGTCTTAAAAGTTAAGTTGACTTTACAGAGTAAATGACTTTAAAAAGTTTTGAAAGGGTTGCTAATGAAAAAGATAAAAGGAATGAAGAAGTGCATATTTTAATTTTGATATTACAAAGATAATTATGGGTTATTAGGTAAATGTTACTTTAGCCCAGTTCATTAAAAATATTGAAATACATGATATAAAGTTAAAATGAAGTTGGTGCTTTATTTATTTTGTGTAGGACCTAAACATAATCAGGTGGATTTTTACTGACAATTGTTTTTACCTCACAAACCATATACTTGCCTCTTCTCTCTGTTTATATGAGAAAGCATTTTGATAATCTATCAGTGAAAGTCTGCACTCTGAATAGATGATATTTATTTTAACAACTGCCTTATAATTTGACACTTTTAGAGCAGTTATTAGAACTCCACCAGGGTCAGGGACTTGATATATACTGGAGAGATGCATATGTTTGTCCTTCTGAAGAAGAATATAAATCTATGGTCATTAAAAGTAAGTACAGTCCTGTTGAATGAACCACACTGTTTTAAAAACAGAATGCCACAGAGTGGCAAATTTGATTGACTTAAACTTCAGATCAGTCAGGCCCGTAGCCAGCAATTTTAAAGGGGGGGTTCTTTTTTTGAAAAAGTGGACCATTTCCCATAAAAACTACATGTACCCAGATCAAATTTTACCCAGAGTGGACCTTTTCCCAGCAAAAGGGGTGGTTCTTTCAACCCCCCCCCCCCCCTGGCCTGTCAGTAGTGATGTATTTTGTATATTTACAGAAGTTTGTTAACTGGGAAGATGATGCTTTTAGAGATTTTATGCAATTAAGCTTTGTATTGCTGACACTTTAATGAAGCATTGGAAGTTTTCATTTCATATGTGACAAATCTTTATTATATTTCATTTAAGACATGGTATTGTTCTTTCTGTAATTTTTTTTTCTGTATGAACCATTTTTCTATGATGATTGCAATGTAAAAATAACATGTCAACTGCATTTTTCCAATTAAGAGACTGGAGGCCTTTTTGGTCTTGCTGTTAGACTGATGCAACTGTTTAGTGAAAATAAAAGGTATGTACAAGGGGTGAGAGGCTGGGCTGAAAAAAGTTGTTTTATAAAATTGTGCTTTAAACCTCTATAATTGACAGTTTTGCCTTTTTTAGGTCTTTGTTAAAGTTTTAATAAATCAATCAAGAGTCAGTTTTAAACTTTCTACAAGTTGGTTAGCACTTGAGTAATTTTACTTTAAGGAATTTAAAACAATGGACCTTGAACAGTCCTCCAAAATGATATGTGTCCGTTATCTGAGTACCTTGGCCACACTGATCTATATAACAATCCTGGACTTCTATTTATTTTGGGTTTTACATTTTAAATTTCAGTAACTTTAAGCCTCTGCTGGACAATCTGGGTCTCTATTTCCAGATCAGGGATGACTTTGCCAACCTTTATTCTAAAGAGGTATTGTTCATTTCTTACTATATCTACCACCCCTGACATTTTTGAAACATGACCCCCCCAAACTTGCATTTCACCACAGCACTGCCAATTTGAAGGATGGTGTAATTATATGCAGTTCATATATCAATTAAGACCATTTCAATGTTTTAGTACAATTCAAGCTGTCTGTTTTATCTCTATAGTTAAAGTTACTAATAAGTCAAATACTGAAGTAAAGTATTGCAATGGTTAAGTCATTATTATAATTTCAGTATGAAGCCAATAAGAGCTATTGTGAAGATCTGACTGAGGGAAAGTTTTCCTTCCCCCTGATCCACGGTATACGTATCAACCCAAGAGACAATCAGATCATGAGTATCCTTGCCTGGATATGTAGATGGATATGAATGTCCATGCTTGATATGTAGGCAGCAGAAATGTATCAGAGTCATTAACACTAAAATTGCTAAAATTAGGCATTGTGTCTTTTTTAGTGTCAATCATTATTCCACCATATCTAGACTAGCTCTCCCTAGAATATTTATATCTGTTAAATAATTTACTCTCTATACAGAACGTCTGATTTATTATTCATCCATTTAATTTAGTGGAAAATCAGTAACTTTCTAAATGAATTATTTTGTATCTGGGAGAAGAGATGCTGGACACAGTGTTGTACACCTTAAAATCCACCATGCCTGTTAAATCCAGGTTTACATGTATGTTTATGTGTGAATGACCCTTAACCATGTGTGGGTATATTACGGCAGCGTACCACTGACAATGATGTGAAGAAGTATTGCGTGGAATATTTGCACAGAGTGGGTTCTTTTGACTACACGAGGAAAGTTATTCTAGACTTGGAACAACTGTAAGTTTGCAAGAATGTCAAACAATTCCATCAACTCCATTTGACTTTTCAATAGTAAAATATCCAGCTTTACTGATTTCATTAATTTTATTTTTTAAGCTATAAATTTTGAACCTTGATACTTTATGTATAATTATCAAACACAAGCCAAAATGCTTTCATACCGTTAGCTTACCATTACTGTTGTTTGGTGATTATCACATATGATCCAACTACCAAATGCAAGCTAATGAACAGTTTTGCTTGATACTTTAGAATGTATTTGCACTCTGAAATGAATCAGTTTGCAAGTATATATTCATGTGTTTAATTTGTGTTTAATTTCTATTAAAATATTTTAACACATTTAATATTATAGATTAATTTCCAACTCTCCACTTATACGTTTTTTTTCTTTTTTTCCTAGTTTATTGGAGCAAATCAAAAGTTATGGTGGAAACCCTTACTTGGAGAGCTTGATCTCAGAACTCAGCAAACTGTACAGGAATGGAGATGAACAGAGTTGATGAAGGAAATCAAACTATTATTAAATTATTTCAGCAGGGAGCAAGTGCAATATCTGCATCACATACCCTCTGTCAGTCTTCAGTTCACTACCTCTTTGTGTCTGAAAAGGAGAGGCCAAGAAATAAGTACTAAAATGTCTTATTGGCACAAATGGAACCAAAAGTCACCAAAGCAACTGTTTATTGGTATAAAAGAAACAAAATTTTGTGACAGAATATAACAGGTTTTATAATAAAGAACTGAAAAAAAAAGTAATATATTTATTTTACAATGTAGGATGAGAGCATCCCATACAATTGAGGTACATGTCTTCATGAAAGGTACTCATAGTGTTTAACTAAGGACCAAATATGCCATTTTTACCTGTTGTACAGCCAAGCAGGTCTACAGAACATAGAATTAACCTTCTAATATTTTGCAAACTGAGGCCAATACAACCTTCCACAGGTACTATTAGGTTCAAATCTTTTTCTTGTAAGACAGCAAGATTGCCTTCAAAAATTTTTCAACTTCAGCTATTTTAGTTTTAACTCCATATTTACTATTTACAGTTTTTTTAAAGTTAAAAACAAAAGTTTTCCAACTTCAACTATTTTAGTTTCAACTTCATATTTTTTTAAAGTTAAAAAGTCAGTGAACACTTGACTTCAACAATGAAGTCCTGTTATCACTTTGTTATCCTCTAAAAATGGGTGGTAAGTACACAGGCCTACCCAAATACCAGACTCAGCACTGAATGATCCTGAATTCACCGGTAGATCGGATCACGCTACCTGTTTTCAAGGTGCATATCAGTACGCATTTCACAGTATCATACCCTCATTTTCCTCAAATAAGAGTCGTAAGAATACAACGATATGACAGGTGTAGCCGATGAAAAAAATCAAATCATTTTAGCAGGTAACGTCTGATTTATTTTTTTAACAGTAAAGCAAATGATTATATGTTAAAATTGTTATGACGAATTTCTAGCTAAAGCAAATGATTATATGTTAAAATTGTTATGATGAATTTCTAGCTAAGTGAGAATATACACATCTATTTGTATTTTCACAAGAAAAACTGCATAACATAGATGGTTATGTCCAAACCTAAACTTAAATGTTAAAAAGTCACGGTATTGTTTGATTTATTACATAAAACAGGGAAAAATAGCAGAAGTGCATGAATCTTGATGAGACGCACTACTTTCCAATCCCACTCAGAATCATTGCTATCACATTGTGTACCAGGCAAGATGGTGTCGTGTCTGATACTTCGAAGTGCATACTGATACACACCATGAAAACGGATAGCATTATCCGATCTAATGGTGAATTTTGGACCCTTTGGTGCCAAGTCTGGTAGTTGGGTAGGTCTAGTACAATAAAATGTGGTTATTCAGAACTATCTTAAAATAGAGACTGAACATATATCATGTCACCAATTCAGAATTTGGTCTTCTTGTCTAGTCTTTCTAAAATACAGCAAAATGTGAACTAAAATTTTGTAACATATTTGGAATGATAATTTTGATCCTAATATACCAAACTTGCAATATATTATTAAAATGGTTTTCATGTTTAAGTTTTAAGATATTGTTTACAATTCAGCATTATTTTTAATGTAATATTCAAGTATACCTTATCATATGTTATCTGTTGCAATAAACAGATTTTGATTGTCACCACTTTCTTTCAAATTATACAAACTTGACATGACTTAGTGGAGATTTGCAGCTTGATTAAACTAATGTCACAATTTAACCCTGAATTCACTGAAATGTCCAATACCAATGATGTGTGCAAAAGTGCCTACAGGAATATGTAATCTTCATTTTCAACTGACTACAAAAAGTCTTGATGGCTGCATTTGTTTTGTTCATGTCTTTTACTACAAAAAGTCCGGGTGCTTGCCTTCATTTTCTACATGGTAAAGAATTTCTGAGAGTGTATTTTCTATGACTGCATCCTCTGCTGCTGCTGAGATCTGCAATAATGGAATGTATAAGATGAGAATTAAATTTTCACAAAGCCATTCTCTGTTAACAAGCACTTTGTTTAAAGGTACACTAAATGTGTTTGAATATGCCCCAAAGTCAAAAATGTTCAATCTAAATTTTTTTCCTCAGGATGATTAAATTTGATGCAATTCCAGAATAGGAAATCTTTCAGGATTGATGCATATTTAAGCTATTGTCCAAACTTAACCAAGTATCTTGGATGTCATTATAAGTCAATTAAAAATGGCTGTAAAAATTGACAGCCTGACACATACTGGTTGGAAGTTCTCCAAATCCTTGGGTGGGTATTTAAAATCTGGACCAAAGTTTAGGGTAACCTACAAATAAACAAATGAAGTTTGGGCAATGAAATAA